AATTCCCCAGCTAGCATGGCTGGCTGGGGAATTCTGGGAGTTGAAGTCCACATAGTTTAAAGTTCCCAAGCTTGGAAACACTGCTCTCTAAGCAGGGGAACCACAGACCAAGAGACTGGTGTACTGGTGGCCAGATCCAAGTAAGAACTGATTTCTCAGTGTACAAGGCAACTGTACTCCTGGTTTCCTCATTTTGCATTTAAAAAAACATCTTTACACTTTCCCCCCCAAGGATCAGAGAGCTTAGCAGGAGACAAAAGGGTCTTCTTTGATCTCTGCCTTCCTCTGCTGGCTTTCTCTAGCATTTGCTCCCCCAGTTTCTTTTTCACCATCAAAGGGACTTGAAAAAGGACGCCTCAACTTGCCCAAACAGCTTCTTCTATCTGGTTCAAACTCTCTAAGATCAACACAGTCTATATTCTGGGAAGAAGTCCTGACTATGTCCCTCAAACCAACTAGATGTGAAATTCTAATTTGCGCCCCAAATTGCTGGACCGAGATTCCCAGGGTTTTTTTTTGGATATACACCCATGCAGCCCCCAGGCCTTACCAGTTCTTCATCCTCCTCCTCCTCCTCCTCTTCCAGTGGACCTCCTGATGCAGGCAGCGTACAGTTGGTTCCTTTCAACAAATTGCCTTTATCCTCCTGGGTGCTGCAAGAAATGAATCAACAAATGAATCTGAAACCCACTCCCGGAACCACCTCCAATAATGGTTGAAAATTCCTGGCATGCCAGCCCTTTTAGAAAGTCCTTAAAGAGATTCACTTAGTTTTAAGAACAAAGCAAAGCCCCAACTCCTCTCAAAACTGATCAAAAAAATCAGCCAGGATGTCCTGCCCCACTACCCCCCATCACAGCATCTACATGCTGCAACCCCCAAAACGCTAAGTCTGTCCCACTGCTGTTGCCCACACCGTGCTAAGCCATGGTTTGCTAAAGCATGCTTTATAGAATAAACCAGAATAGGTTGGGTTCATGCAACGTGCTAAGCCCTAGTGGAGCAAAATATGCAACAGATGGACAGTGTTAGAGGAGTCAGGGGCCGCCTCTTGGCATCCCAACCTGCAGAGGTCCTCTGCTGATGCTGTCAGATCCCTGGAAGATGCTGGAGTACCCAATAGATGCTCTCACTTTGAAAAGCCACCCAACGCTGTCCCCCAGCCCCAAATCTGGAGATGTGATCTCAGGGTGCCACCTATGGCCTACCCTCACCCGGCTTGGGGTGATATGAGAACCCAGCCTATTCCGTGGGGCTGAAACAGAGCACAAGGAGGGGCATAGCGTGCAGCTCGTCCCTGGTTGGCACTGACCTGGAATCCTCTTCTGGAGGGATAGATGCTGGTGGTAGCTTCTCCCCAACTTGGACCTTCTCTCCTGTTGTTCCGGACGGGAGGGTCAAGGAGGTGGGATCCTGGTCAGGAACATCTGGGCAAGTGTCCTCTTCCCTGTCTGGGTCTAGTGCAGGCGCTGCCTCCTCAACTGCTGGCTTCAAGGGAACAGGATCTGCAGGCACGTTCTCCACTGTATCGCCAGCACCACCCAAAGCATGTGCTTCTGTTGGTCTGGACACAGCCACCTCCCTATCCTCCTCCTGTGGCGAGAGCTCCTCCTCCAGAGATTTTGGGACTGGATCCGAGGATGCAGGGGTCAACTCAGCAGGTCCATCTGAACGCTGTGCCTCCTGTGCCTGCTTGCTCTGGCTTCCTTCCAGAGAGGGAGGAGGAGAACTGTCAGGGTCTTCTTCTAGGCGGTCTGAAGGAATGGACGATGGTGGCTCGTCAGAACTGCTCGGCTGCACTTGGTCGACAGCCACTGGGCTTCCTCGCTGCCGTGGTCCCTCCTCTTCACTGCTGCTCTCTTCCGGCCTCTCCAGCAGCTGCAGAGTTATTGTCTGGCAACAGGCAGAAAGCGGGGAAGAGGTTAGCTGCAACCTTCTGCTCCTTAATTAGCAAACTCAGAAGAAGAAAAATGAGTAGATCGGCTGACTGATTATGAAACCATGGAGGCTGACATCCCCTTGGCCTGCGGGTACCTTGATGGTGTTCATGACCACGCCAAGGACGATCCTTCCCGTGTAGGACTCCTCCAACTCAAATTGGCCTCGGAGGGACTGGAAGACTCGATTCATGATCTTTTTCACCTGGAAATGGGAGAAGGCGAGAAATATACCAAAGGAAGCATTCAGGAAGGAAGGAACACCAGACAACCAGGGGAGCTTCCCAGCCCCTTTTGGATCAAACCAGTTCTCTGTTCAAGAAAAGAGCATGTGCAAGACATGCTTACATCTTCTTGGTCAACCAAAAGGAAGAGAGCCATAACCAGCACCACGGCATGGTCCTGGAACCAATTACGGCTCATTCCCGACTGCTATAGATCCTCTTCCTCCACCAGCCATTAATCCAAGGAGCCCAGCTTGCAGAAGGCTAGGGTTATCCAGCTGAGAAGTTCTTCACTGCTAAGGCAGTGGGTGCCAGTGGCAGCAGACAAAACCATTTACAAAATAGAGGAGATGCACCCACAGGTGTTTACCTAAGCCCAGAAAATTTCTTCCTTTCTTTATTAAATTTTTAAAAAAGACAAAAACGAATAAGAACTCGTATTTAGACTAAAGAAAAGAGCGAAGAAAAAGACAAAGCCCAAAGTGAAAGAGAGAGAGAAAAATATATATATATATATAAAGAAGCAGCAGATTTACCGCTTCAGCCGAAGCTGTCGGTGGGGTCCTATCAATGCCTTTCTCCAGCTCTTGGATCCGCTCTTCATAACGGACAGTGAGGTCTGTCAGTTGGGACTGCAAGGCTGCACACTGGTGTGGGGTTTAGAGAAACAAAGACCAGGTATGATGGGGGCAGCTCTCTCATCTTGTTTTGCAGATTTTTTTTTTTAAAAACCTTACTGCATCGTGGAGATTCTCCAAGCCCAAGAAGGGACTAGAACCCATTTTCCAGAAGGAAGATGACGGTTTGGGGCAGAACGACTTGCCTGCTGCACCTAATCTTGCAAACTTTATAAGTGGGGTTATTTGAATAGGCAAATACACAAATCGACAGGGGAAGGACAACCAGAAATCCTTTTTGTTGCTATTAACATTCAACCACTGAAGACTCTACACTCTGACCAGTGATTCGCTAGTCGATCCAGTCTATCTCTAGCCCAAAGAGACAAGGACATTTGGGGAACAAATTCCTGCTCTGACATTTCTAAACAGCTTCTTGTTATAAAAATCCCAAGCAGCGAATAATGCCTAACATTTGGGCCTATTTTGACTGCATTATAAAGCAAGAATCCTTAATGGCCACTCTGTGAAGTAGGACAGTATTCACAACTCCCATTTTGCAATGGGGTCTTCCCCTGAGTTTATGGCACAGGAGACGCTAGCAATTCCTGGCTTGTAATCCGGTTGCTCAGCCACTGATTTACTCCAGCCTTCAGAAAAGGTGGGAGGAAAATCTTGTTGGACGCGCGAGAATTATGGACGCTAAAACACAACACGTTTCAAAATGGGAGGGAAGGGGTGAATCTCACCTTGCCTTTGACTGCCTCCAGTTCTTCCACTTGCTCCTGAAGTTCTACAAATTTTTTGTCCTCTGAGTTCCTGCTGGCTTTGAGCAGAGAAATCTAGAAACCAGGGACACAGGTTAACTTTCACACATGCCGAACCAGGTGACCTACTTTAACTGAAGTGCCCAGTTGTTCCTTCCAAAAGTAAGAGCCTTGGTTAGGGAGGGACATACATGCAGATAACAAACATTCGTGTAATGTCTTAAAGGCTATTATGGTGCAAGCGAAGTACACCAGGGTCTATTTCAGCAGGTATATTGGATACCATCCTGGGAATAGTGGGGTGAGGGAGGAGGAAGGACGCAAGACCAGCATATATGGGGACTTCATTTAAAAAAAAAATTGATTCTGTAGGTGTGAAATCTCCCTCTCTGCCATCTGGCAACAGGGACGTTGCGGTCAAATACATCTGGAAGGTAGCTGATTTTCCCCCCTTGAGCCAAACTGGGTTTATCTCAAGCCTGCTCTGGTTTTTTCATCCCCAGAATCCAAACCAAACCTAACGAGCAGGTACAGCCTACTAGAAACCCCAAATAAAGCATGTAGGGACAAGGGATATAAGGATGGGGGCTAAATTGGGAGCAGGGAGGTGGATCCGCCAAAAACAACACGAAACAGACAGGTAGAATAATTCTGAGGAATGGGGTTGGGGGAGGCGGGGGACGGAACGAGGGAAGGGTGGGCTACCTACCTTCTCTTCCAGTTGGGAGACCATCTGCTGCTGGGCATCCCGCTGTTCACACACTTCTTGGAACTGGCGGGCATGTTGCTCCTTGGCCGAACTCAGCAGGCGCTCGCATTTGGCTTCCCACTGGGACTCCAGCTCTGTCTGCAGAAGGGAAAGCTTCCCCAACACGTGAGGACGACGGGCTGATTGGCTCCCACTCCAACCTGCTGATTTCCTGCCCTTCCCACTCCCTAAACCCCATTAAGGGCTTTTGCGGTGACTTGGTCCCTCGCAATATGATGCCTCTATAAAGGAGGTTGAGATGTCAGGGGGTCTTTTCCCAGCACTGCAGGTGAGGTTCGGGGTGGAGGGGGACGTTGGCCTATTTAGCTGCAGGGAGCAGGTTTTCAAAAATTAACAAAAACCAGAACGGCTGGGACAAAGCTACAGATTCTAAGGGGAAGAACATATCTCAACAGTGCAGCATCTGGTCAACTTGCTTAAAGGCTGAGGTCAAATTTCCAAGATCTGCTGCCCAGCTGAACTAAGGCGATGGACGTGGGGGCAAATTCACTTCTGCCTCTCACCTGCTCTGAAGCAACGTGGTTGGTCGATGCCCGTGACTTTTTCAGAACCTGCCGGAGCTTGTCCAGCTCTTCCTGGTAAGATTTGCGAATCTCATCCGCCTCTTCTTCGGCCTGTTTTCTCTCCAGGAGAGATTTCTTCTTTCTTTCAGAAAGATTCTGAAGCAGAGGAAGAAGACAGAGAGAGAGAAAGCACACGCAAGTTGAGGGTGCCAGACTGGGCAAGACGGGAGGATGAGGTGATAGGCTGCTGCTCCAAAATTCTCCACCTGTAAATGCAGCCTTAGAAATTGGGATGTGTACCACGTGTACAATCTACGATTACGATGAGGATTCAGAGGTCCTTACTTTCTCTAGGTTCTCCTTCTCCACCCGGAGGTCAGCCAACTCTTCCTCCAAGGCAGCCACCTTCCCATCCAGCAGCTTACGGCTCTGCTTCTCCACTTGGAATTTGTTCTTGGCCTCTGCAGATGACTCCTGAAGCTCTGCAAGAGGTGGGGAGAGAGGAACAAAGGAATGAGGTGGCAAGAAACACAGCTTTGAGGCACTCCTAATGAGGTCCTAAGAATGCCCTGGGCTGCAAGGAAGAAAGGTTGGGTTGATCACTGTCCTGTTTTCTGCAGAAGGTGGAGGACACAGAAGCACCCATCCAAGGAGATCTTCTCCAGCGTGAGAAAGGTACTCTGCCAGGCATTTAGAAACCGGTCTTCTACTTCAGCCTCTTCTTCACCTTCCCTTACCTGCCAGCTGGGCCTGCAACTGGTTAAGCTGGGCAGCATGTCTCTCGGCCTCCTTCAGGGCAGCATTCAGTTGGGAGCGCAGGTCCATCTCCTTCTTCTGGTGGCTGGTCAGCTCCAGCTGAAGCTGGGAGATCTGGGCCGTAGCCGCCGCCAGTTCTTCAGCAACCTTAACCTGCAACATGAAAGAAGAGCCGTATGGAGAAAAGCAGAGGGAGAAGTCGTGGAAGAGCTTCTTCCAAGAGAAAAGGGGATTAAAGCCCAGGGAACAAGTGAGACATCCCTCAGATGCTGAGATTATGTCTTGTAGGAAAACCTCTGCTACAAAGTGAAGAACTAGGCAGTAATTTTCTTAATTCTTCTTTGCTAACTTGGAATCGTGAGTTGCACCACAATGGAGCAAAAATTCTAACTCAGTGGTCAAACTTTTCTCCTGGACTCCAGGGAAGAAAAGCCATATTTTAACACCGCCTTCCTTCAGAAGGCTGAAATAGTAATGTATCCAATATTAAGCATCAAACTGGGCTGCTTCTAAATCAACATGTAAAATTAGGGAGATTTCACAGCCTTGGCCCCTTCCTATGCTGGTAAAATTAGAGAGATGGGTGGTCCCATCTTAAAATACTTACAAACTTTCCAACCATAATGATCTCAAGAAAAGCTTTCAATTGCTTTCAGTGTAAGTTTGCAGAACAATCCCTGCACACTCAACGCTTGCAGTTCACCTGTGCTGAGTTGAACTCACTTCCAAATAAGTGTGTCTCACGTTGCAATTTGCCCCATTATCTACAGTACACAACGGGATGTAATTTGAAGTGATGATGTTTATCAGAAGAGCTTCTGTTTTTTCTCCAAATCATGAGTCAGCGAGCAAAATTAACCAAGTTAAAAACAACTTCAATCTAGGACAAACATGCTAGATCGCCATTAATGCAGAACACCGAAACTTCTTCCGGGAAATCCATATTGCTGAGTTCAGGATATTCAGGCAGAAAAGCCTAGTGGTAAAACAGAGCTGCAGAAGGGACTGGCTTTGACCTGCTTGGGTTGAAAATGGTAACTTTTGAAGGGTGGGGGAGAGAGGGAGGAGAATGCCAGGTTATCCAGACAACCAAGAATAGCACCTCACCTGATCCCACCCCCGATCCAGTGGCAGCAGGTGCTAGAGGAAAAAAAGCAGTGACAGGAGAGAGGAAAATTAACTCCACTAGAATCAAAAGCAGTAGAGGAGAAAGAGAGGCAGAGAGAACGTCAGCCAAAAATAAGAACAAGGACAGTTAGCCACATCCTGGCACTCCGTTCAGTTCAGTGCAGAACTGAAAAGCTTAACAAGGTGCCTACTCAGATACAACCAGCGTTTTCCCAGCCTGGTGCCCTCCAATGCCTGAGACTACAACCTGGCCGGGGATGACGGCAGGGGGAGCTCTAACACTGAAAACCAAGAGATGGGCTTTGGAACTGCTCCATCTTTCTAACAAGGCTCCTCAAAGCGACTTTGTTTCCCCTTTCCTTCATCTCAGGCCTATGGACTTTCCATGTCATTATTTGAGGTTTACAGCAACAGATCTACAGCCACTTTTAATTCCTTGTGCAGGGAGTTAAGCATCCCCCCCACCCCAAAAAAGGAAAAATGGGCTCAAAGCAAATTATTATTTAAAAAAAGGGGGGAGGAGAGAAAAGGACATGGCGAGTTTTGTCTTTTTCTCTGCTTTCCAATCCCCCCCCCCTTATGGCAGTGCAGTGTGGGGTTTTGACGACTGTAAATGCAGCAACAAAGGGAATCAGGGTTCAATGCCGGGCAGAAGCACAGGGTCTCTGGGGCTGCTCTCATCATCTAAGCCATCTTGGCCTGCGCCTCAAATTTTCTACTTTCCTTTTGGCTGGTTTTACCTTTTCTTGCTCAGCGTGTAAGACTCTTGCCTGAGAGTGCTCAGTGTTCATTTGCAGAGAGTTGTTCCTTTGCTCCATCAGCAGATTGCTTTGCTCCACGTACCTGGGAAGAAAGAAAGTGAATAAAACATGCAGTGGCTTGAGAGGTTCCAGCCGCCAAAGCTGATTTCACGTGAAGTCCAAAATGAAGGAGAGATTATTTTGAGTTTCGTTCTCATGCTTCAATCTCTGGACTATGCAATTGTTCTCCAAGATCCTCCTTAACAGCTTATTCCTTCCTTGCCCCCTTAACTGCTCTTTCATACTTTTCCCAAGGTCAGCTCTGAATTTCTTTACATAACCTCATACATCCTGCACAGCTGGTTCAGAGTTGGACCTTCAATTGTTAACTGTGGCCCTGCTTTAATGGAACAAGCTGCTAGAATCACAAATCAAAGGCAGCCTTCCACAAAGGCATTATGAGAAGCGTATGGAGATAAGGTCAGATGGAAATATGTCTCATCAATCAGGAGATCCCTCACCTCTGATTGCGGTGAATCAGTTCACTTATCTTCTCATTCTGTTCCTCAATGCGGCTGCTCTTCTCAAAGACTTCTTGCTTGAGCCTCTCATTTTCCTGCAGAGAGAAACCCAAAAAATTGGAAAGCATTCTTCTTCTTGACATTAGTAGTTAGTGGTTCCTATGACAGCATCTCCAGATGGTTCTGTAGGACAACTCCCATCACCTCAGCAAAAGAGGGTGGAAGCTGTATCCAATATCTAAAGACCCATAGTTGGACATCGTTGCACACGTCAGTTGCGATCAGAAATTTTTTCTTAAGAAAGAAGGGCTTCTCCATCTCCTCCAATCAGGGGACAGATGTTCTATTATCAAGTAGGGATGGACAACACTGGTCAGTGCTGGAAGGATCGTTCCAGAGAATTCCAGAACATTCCAGTTCCTTCTGGACATAAGTTGAGGTGTCCCACACATAACTTTTCAGACAAAATGGCTGTTTCAGAGCCAGACCATCCCTGGAACCACTTGAACTGCTTCCAGGTCAAGGATTTATTTCCAGAAACCGCCAATGTTGAATGGCATATTTTGGAGATGGTTTGGTATGACCTGGAGGGAAATGGAACATTCCAGAGACATCCAGAACAGTCTATTCCCAGATCCACAAATTTTGCACCTCCCTATTTTCAGGTTTTCTGCTGCCAAGGAAGTCATTCGTAAGCACTGGGGGACACCCTCTGGGGGAGATGGGTGGCATATAAATAAATAAATTAATTAATTAATTAATTAATTAATTGATAAAGCATTGATCATTGTGTGTCTGATTACCACAAAGGGATTAGGTCTGGACAAGCAGGAAACTACTGGTCTAGGCTGACAACCATGTTAAATGGGGGAGGATTACAGAACTAACAGAATGTTATGGAGCTGAAGCTTGCATCCGCACACATTCATTCAAATGTATCCTGGAGATACTTAGATAAACCCCACACTCTCTCTCTTTGCTTTACCTGGATGATGCGCTGGATGTTGGCCATAATCATGGTTGTTTCCATTGTAACAGAGGAGATAGTACCTGGTAACAAGCTTTGGGTGGAATTCTGCTTCTGCAGCTCTTCCACCTATGAGATAAAGAGAGAGTTGCTTGGATCACACCTTGGCTGGGGCATCTCATCCAACCCCACCTATGATGCATTCAAGGGGCCTTAGCGGTTTACTCCAAACTCTAAACCATGATGGGATTCACACATGGCTTTATAGCTCAATGTCATGCATGATCCCAGCCACTCACCCACTCAGAATGACTCATTCTGAAGGAGGTGTGGGGAGGGGGAAACTGCAGCTGCCCAGAAAAAGATACCTAATTCCAGTAGAAGAGACTATCTGTAGCTCAGGGTTGAACTGTGGAGTTCTTGGTGCTCTCTGAGCTGATGATGTTATCTAGTTGGGTAATGAAGGGTCTGCAAGCAAACAACCAAGTTCAGAGGGCACCAAGAACCCCACAGTTCAACCCTGAGACACCCAATTGCCTGGATGTCTTTTTCTGGTATCCATTAGCTAGTGGGTTTACAAGCTTCCAGAGCATCTGGCTGGCTGAAGTAGGAAGAAAGTTTCTAGACCAATCAGTCTGATTTCTAGCCAAGCAAATCCTTACATGGGCTTTCACCCCACCACTTTGAGGTTACAGTGGTACCTCTAGTTACGAACGCCCCTCCTTACGAATTTTTCGAGATACGACCAGCTCCAGCCCCAAAAATTTACCTCGACTTGCGAACTCGCCTCGACTTATGAACTGGATCCGCGGCCATTTTCCGCCCATGCCACACTTTGAGGTTACAGTGGTACCTCTAGTTACGAACGCCCCTCCTTACGAATTTTTCGAGATACGACCAGCTCCAGCCCCAAAAATTTACCTCGACTTGCGAACTCGCCTCGACTTATGAACTGGATCCGCGGCCATTTTCCGCCCATGCCACGTGGTCCGTGGCCATTTTTCCGCCCATGCCACGTGGTCCGCGGCCATTTCCCACCCGTTCCACGTGGTCCGCGGCCATTTTCCCGCCCGTGCCACGTGGTCCGCAGCCATTTTCCGCCCATTCCACGTGGTCCACGGCCATTTTCCTGCCCGTTCCACATGGTCCGCGGCCATTTCCCCGCCCATTCCACGTGGTCCACGACCGTTTTTCCGCCCTGCTGTGTGGTCCATGGCCGTTTTTCCGCCCCTGACACGTGGTCCGCGGCCATTTTTCCACCCCTGACACGTGGTCCGCGGCCATTTTTCCGCCCGACACGTGGTCCGTGGCCATTTTTCCGCCCTGCCGCGTGCTCCGTGGCCGTTTTTCCGCCCCTGCCACGTGGTCCGCGGCCATTTTTCCGCCCCTGACACGTGGTCTGCGGCCATTTTTCCGCCCGCCACGTGGTCCGTGGCCGTTTTTCCGCCCCGGACACGAGGCCGG